GAAATTGATCCTTAAACAACAACTACCTGTTATTTTCTTTGTTGATTTTCGTTACGACCCAATATCACTTGAAGAGAAGATTAAAAAAACAAGAACAGCTGTTTTATCTTGTTTTGCGACTTCACAGTAGTGCACACTGACAACTCAACAAGAGGTTGAACCCAGGACCTTCAAGTTACGAGAACAAGCTCGTTGGCCATTCAGCTACTTTGGCTGAAATTCAATGACCCATGAATTAAAACTTTGTCAACTCTTGATAAACGCTACTCTACCAATGACTTCGATGAAAAAAATTGTAGGTGCGTACTGTTGAAGAGTTTCAAAACGGGACCAAACATTCGTTCAGTGCTTCCTGGTTTTGATTAGTGATGATAATGTAACAATTAAAACTAATCGAAAATCTTTTAAAATCTCATATTTATTTATTATTACATTCCTTTGTGTTCTGAGTAGAACGTATGACTTCAAGCCTTGTTCTCTGAAGTTTCGGTAGATGTAGTATTATTTTTTTTTCTACTGTGTTACGTTGACAGCCTTACGCACAAAATTTCCTTTTTTCCGGACTTATTACCTATTTCTTAGTAAACCAGGTGAGGTTTATGTGTACGTTGTCAACTGGGAACCAAACCTGGAGCACGTGAGTGGTAAGCCAGCATTCTACCTTTGATTTACCGCTGAAAAGCAACTACTGTACATTAAAGTGGATTGTTACTTGATATTATGTTTTGGAAAAAGTCGATTAGATGAAAAAAAAAGAAATCTAGTTGATGGGATTCAGTCAACGCTACTAAGGACTAAGACACATGTCTGTGGTTACACATTAGTGATTAGTCAGTTTAAGGATATTATAGTTCTTACAGCTCTCTCTAACTACAGTACTGCATGATGTGGATTCTAATCACCAAAGGGACATAAACTACTTCTACACTAAAACCTCATCTTGCTAATGACTGCCAATAAGCATATTGAACCTATGTCGATAATGTCTTCTTACCGACTGCATGAAACCGTAATAGTGAATCAACTGATAAAAATCAGTCAACAGCAAGACTAAGAAGCAGCAACTAACTGAGTTTCAACATAGATATTCGCACAGAAGTGCAGCTGTTCAAGTTGTTACTGAAAGGTACACAAACGACAGAGGGAAAAGAAATACAATGAATGAAAACGTACCAGAGAAAGAATATTAACACAGAGAAACATGAGGGTTTAGTAGATTTCAAAGATTATAAAGGATGAATACATCTGCACGAATCAGAACTATTTCAAGGCATATGACCAACATTCTTAAACCGTTAGTTCTTAGTAGACCAATAACCTTAGCTGCCTGGCTGCTCAAATCAATTCTCTAAGCCTTCACATAGAATGATGCAAGGTTTTAGTCTTACCGTCCCTCACTCCCTAACTCTTTTCCAACCTTATCTAATATCAGCTTAGGTTGTTTTGATGTGGAAGATGATGACTCATCATACGTAGTACATGTGCTAGACATCTAAGTTGATGTAACTTCACAACTTCGCTAATGGAACACTCTACGTTTAACCTTAACATTGCTCGCCATATTATACCTATAAGCACGGGCGACTGATTGCAAACATCTATGGTCAAAGACACAGCTACCTTTTTCATATCTTCCACTTTCAGTCACTACGTTTCAAAGCTGTAAAGGTGAACAGAGTGAACTGGTTTTCAGGAAACACATCCTTTGATCGATAGCTGGATATCACATCTACAGAAGTGATGACATCCATTGGTGAATGACACATAAAACATTCTAATATCCATGCTGAGACTAATATTGTAGGCACACACATGACACTGTTTACACCCCACTGTCTAATCAATATATACCTAGTTATAGTCAGTAAGACTATGAAATATTTTATTAACATATTTTTTCTAAAGAGTCATAACTGTGAAAATTGACTGTAAGAGGAACAACAACCACAATAACAACAGAAAAAGCAACCTTTTGAAAAAATGGAATACATTTAGTGAATCTGACATAAAACATGTAAAAAGGGTTACCGTCTTCATCTTAGTTTAAGCCTACATAAAGAAGAACTGCTTCCCTTCCCTTGTTCAGTTATTGCCTCATTCTAATTAGGCTTAATTAAACTTGTAGAAATTAATTTGCATTTCATGTTTTTAGGTTTGGAAAAACATAACAAAGCCTGCTAATACGGTGAACACATATATAGTAGAGGGTGAAGAAATGAGATCTGATAAATGTTCAATATCATTTTTCAAAGGCTTAAAAGAGCTGATTTTGTAATTTCGCAGCCTTTTCTTCAGTTACTAGCACTTTGAAAAGTAACATGAGTTATTATTATTATTACTATTATTGATGTAATCTGGACATATTCATTGGTTGGAGGATGACATCATGAGTTGACATCAGTTAGAGAACCAGAACCACTGGAAAATCTGGGAGTACTGGACAGCTCTTTCGTCCTAGTCTGCGACTCTTTGGAGGTACGAACCCACCGCCAGCGTTCAAACCCAGGATTCTGGTTACAAAGCCAGCGAGATCGTAGAAAATTAAGCCACTGGGACTCAAACCAATGCCCAGCCAGCCCATGAATTCTAACTTCTGCCAGGCAATTCACGACATTCCGTGACCACTTCACAATTTCTTCTTCAATGAGTAACTCTCCTCACTTCAACCTGCTGTACCCTACTGGCCACAGCTTCCCAGTATTCCCGCATATGGATTGACCATCCTTAACAGACTCAAATGAAATCCGAGCTAGAGAACCTCATATATTATATCGGGTATGTTCATGGCATATTTGTTATTATTTCGAGTAATACGTACCATGCCCCAATGATGTTTGAAAGACTTAATATCGTTCATCCTCACATAATTAGTGTTTTAAATAGGATTATGAAGATTAAATCTAGTTTAGCTTTCCAGATCTTAGCAGAACAAACAACATGAAAATGTTAGGACCACTAAATACAACTATCTACACAAAAGAAACTTTAACCGGTTAGCACTTGAATCGAATACACTGTTTGCAAAATTAACTCGGAATTTACATAATTCGAAGTGAAGTTTCACAAAGGTTCCCTTTTAAAAGTGGTATTATTTACATCGGTGGTGTTTTCTTTTGACTGATTCTACTCTCCAAAGCTGAAGTGATCCCGCGTACACCACTGATGAACTAATTCTCAAACGAGAGAAACAGCCATCCAATGTTTAATAGCACTTCAATCTAGACAGCTATCAACACTACTCCTCTCAATTAATCAGTAGTATGTTGAGTTGATGCTTAAATTGTCACAGTTTTTGTCTAATCGGCTGAAATGCTGTTTCACCAGAAATATATCGTCGTGTTCAGAAAATGAGAATGATTATAAAAATTATTATTGTTAAAAATAACATAATGACGAATGGATATATGAAGGAGTTTATAATGAAATACAAAAGAAAAGAAATGTCTAAACACACTGAAGCCAGTCAGAAAGAGGTGAAAAGAAATGAGCTTTTATTTAATTTGAGTACAAGGAGGATGTTGGAAAAACCTGAAGAAAAGGAAATAGATTTAAAGGTACATTGAAAAGAAGATTTCCTACCACCAGATTGATTCTTCCTTAAAACACCAAATATCCATTTGTACAGACTATAGTCGATAGGCATCCTGCTCATGTCAACACCAACTGCACGTATAAATTCACATGTACTCACAGTAGCAAGTGCATAGAAATGACTGAGAGAAGAGTGTCTACTAGATTTACTCAGCATACATCTATCTGTAACAGTATTCTTATGAAAGTAAGAATGTGTTTATGAGTGGAATCGCCAAGTACCTGATTGACACACAACATATATTTGAAATCAGTTAGCTCTTCAACAATTTCAACGCAAACTTTGTAAACAAAAAGATAATAGGTTTAATCTATTTCCACCCGGGTAACTAAGTATCTTTTGTGTTTTGTTGTTTAGTGATTGTGTCATGTTTTGTTTTTGATCTCCACTCACTGAGCTTAACCCAGTAATTCATATGACCAGCTTACACAAATAGTTTAAATAAACACGTTATTAAGGTTTCTACTTTAATTTTCTTTGGTTTATGCTTTAAGACTGCTTAAAATTGAAGGTTGAAAAATTTGGAGGACACAAATGGAAACGGTTTTTTGGAGTGAAATAAACAAATTTCTCTCTCATCATCTTCCCTCGGTTCGGAAGATTTCACTAGTGTTCTTTTTTGGAATTATTTTGCATTTCTTGTTGGTCGGTTACATTAGACCATAATCTACAGTCTGTGCTAACATGAACTCTCTAATGATGATTCAAAGGCCTAGTGGATAACGTTTCAGTGGGAACACCAGTATTCATTGTGAATACGTGTATATCCAGATGATGAGTCCCTAACAGAGCAAAACGAGAGTCTTGGATTCTACTTCTGGACACTATCAAACAAGTATTTTCACCAGTTTTCGTTTATTATTCACATCATTGCATCCCATGCTTCTTTTCATAGTATTACTGTTTTTAAGCTTTGTTTTTCGTGTTTGCTTCCTTCAAAATGTGACAAATTAAACTGATACTAATATGCCTGAATTTCTTGTTCATCTTATAAGTCAGTTGAATGACGATTAGGAAACGCTTGAAGATACTTTATGTCAAAATGAGTTTTACAATGAAAGTAATGATACAGTTTTCATGAAATCTACTTTCTCGGTTGATCCAACATAATTGTTTATTTATTTGCTTTCTAATTGTAACGTAGGGGTTCAAACATGAACTCTAAAGTTTCAAAAGCAGTGGTTTTATCTTAATTTGTTGTGTTTACTAGACTCACGCCTCCTTTCTATGGGGCTAACTACCGGCTTAGAGAGGTTCGGAAGTTCATCCATCAGGAGTCGACACTTCTGTCCAATCAAATAGAATTAATCGGGGGGGGGGGGTGGGAGTTTAGAATGATAAAAAAATAATTCTAATAAATATTACGTGAGATGTTTAACATACAAAACATATACATAAGATCACTCACCTGAATATGATGATGAATTAGTACCGTCTTCGATGGCCTGCATTGGCTGAACAGCACCAAATCGTGAACTAAAATCAAATTGCAACAGAATGAATTGTAAAGATTAAGTAATGATGGCGACTTTGTAGATAAGTATATAACTCGAAGTGTACATTGATGCAGACGTAAATACTAACATTATCAGCTGCCAAAAGACATTATAACATCATTATTGAGATTTTCTAAGAGAATGTTCTGAATGTTTGATCACGAACCGACATCATTGAGACAACTACTGGAAACGAGGAAGTATTTGATAGTCGTTTAGTCTTGTTTTGCGACTCTTCAAAAGTGCGCGACCGTAACCTACTGGCGATCGAATTCAGGAGGCGACGAGACAAACATATTGACCATTGCCTATGGCGTTGGCTGGAAGTGGGGGCTACATGTCACGAACCAAGAGAAGTCACAATTTATGCACCGTTAGATTCCATTCTGCTGGCTGATTTGTCAATGGGCTTGTCTCGTAGTCTGGAGGTCCTAAGTTTGATGCCTAGTGGGGTCATAGGTGAGTACTACCGAACAGTTAAAAATAAGACTGAAGTATCTTCTCAGTGTTTCAGTGTTTCTCTAACTGATGTCAGTTTTGCATCTTAGTTTTTGTTGTCGTTTCAAAAGACATTCTAAAAACAGTCATATGTGACAAGGCCTACACTAAATTCTCTGTAGTGGTATTACCTGGTTGTTTGGTGTTATGAAAACCATTTACACTGTTCACAGTGAAGTAAAAAGCGTTCACTACTCAATGATTTACATGATATGAGACTTTACAATACATAGAATGAAACTCAAACTGTTGTGAGAGCCTATACCCTGCAATTTTTGATGGAGACACATGGATCTTCTGGCAGGACTTCGAGGCTGTTGTACAGTTGAGTGGCGTTTAAGATCCCTCAGTAATGAGGCTGTTACTTAGAACACTGCTGGGAGGTAGAGCGAAGACAGTATATGAATGTGTGATGCGAAACACCGACGAATTCGCGCCAGAGTCGCACAAACTGCTTCCAAAGTTTGAAGGACCATACACGGTCACTGTTAGACGGAGTCAGGTATAAACGATCAGAGATGCAAACAAAGAGAAACAGGTGAACGTCAGTGAGCACCGGGATTCGATACAGCAAGACAAACAAACAAAGCCACCAGCACCAAGAAGACTGAACCAACTTCAGTCGAAAATCTTTGACTGGGGGACGAGTGTGGTGAGACCTGGCTGCAAGCCGAAATTTGTGGACAACAATTTACGTCAATGTTCACGTGCCAAATCAGGCTAATGAGAAAAAAACAATAACAAGGCTTGACCTTGAGAAAATCATCAGCCAATCACAGCGGAGTTAAAGTGTGTAAATATGATTCACAGATACATTACTTGATTTTCTGAGAAACGGTCACAAAGAGATAACAGACTCATAACCTTCAGCAAGAAACAACCAATTAGAAGACATTGCGTCTCCACTAACAATAAAGCTAATAATAATGCACATGAAAATCTGTATACACCTCTTGATTTTTTAAATAAACGATCTGTTGCCTTGGCCGTTGTCTTCTGTCGTTACAAAACTATTATGATATAATTAGTCTTAGGCTTAATCCAAGGAAAGTAGTATGGTATGATGACACATAATACTGATTGGTACGCGTAGCTGGAAACCACCGAGCCAACAAGTAGTACTTAGATGTTAGACAGCAGTAATCCAAATAGAGGAGGAGGTTTTCAATGGTTTAGCCCTGAGCTCTTGAGTGTTCTCCTAGGAATTACTCACCTAGAGTATCAGTTAAAACCATCCGAATGCTGGTTAGATACTTAGGAGAACTGGTAATACAATGACACAATACGAGGTGAAAAACAGTACTTTACAGGTGAAAAGAAATTGTATTTAATGGCGATATCTTAATGCCAGTAAAATTGGAAGCTAGGAGAGGAGAGGAGCGGAGAGGTTTCATTACACAGAACACGCTTGTTTATTTATTGAAAACTAGTCGGTAACTAGTGTAATGTGTCTAGTCCTCTGTTTGGTGCCCACTGAATTCTATCATCAGTCAAGTTTGCAATGTGGCCACTATGCCACTAGGTGGTTTGCCATCACGGTTTACTGTGCATTGTTGTTATTGGATGGTTGGAGGTAATCGGCAGAAAGCCTTAGACCTAGGTTCCGTGCTAGTTAGCACTCATCAGTCAGCAAGGAGTATTTGCAACCTAGAAGGAACTCATGGTGGTTATATTGCAAACTTGACTGATAGAATTCAGTCTACACCAAAATAGGACTAGGCACACACACATACACACACACCACAATAATTACTGACTAGTGTGCAATCAAAAATATCCAATACAGTCCTATAGGAGGTCAATCACGAATCAAAATAGCTCAGTGGTGGCGTCTCTTACTGCAGCACTGGGTGACGACGTGGGTTTGAATCTCAGAAGGGACATGAGTTCCTTTAAGGTTGCAGATACGCCTTGCTGACTGATGAGTGCCAAATAACACGAAACCTAGGTCAGATAGGGTTTTCTGACGATTGCCTCCAACCACCTAAGAACACGCATGTGCTTTTACAGAGTTGCCAGTTAACATTTACATTGTGAAGTTTTTAACATACAAGCGTAAATTCTACTCATCAGCTAATGACATTGATAGATGAGTATAAGACAGGTTTTTCATGGTGTAAACACTATTCACTTTGGGTTATAAATATTTGAGTACAGTTTTGTAGAGAAAGAATCAATGACGGCTTTTTGGAAAGACACGTCACTGAAACACAAATATATGAAACATTTCATACCGATTGTTAATGAGGCACTAAGGGATGAATTTCCTGGAGTTTCGATATCGAATAGTACCCGGTGGGGTACACCATGTCGGGTGTGGTAATAGGTACTAATCGATGACATTGGTCGTTATTTCTATCATATCTCATAAATTAGCAGAAGTTAGAATTTATGAATCATTTTATATTCCATTGGTCAACGTGTTCACCCCCTAAACTGAAGGTCCCGGGTCAGAACCCTGAAGCAGTCCGAAGTGAACAATACTCAAAAGTAAAAAAAAACTAGCACGAATTCATCAGTCATCGAAGGTATATATTTATTGATATTAAAACAATCAAAACTACTCCGAATTTATGATAAAGGTAGAGAAAAGCGTTGTGTTGAGATCAGAATACCATTACAGTTTTATTGAACATTGAACTCACTAACAGAAACAGTTTAATTTAACTTTTAGTGAAAGAATAAACAAGAAGGTCTGTATCTTTCTCATTAGAGAATACACTGGTGAAGAAAGTTTAAAAGAAGTAAATCAACTAACTAAATATCCAACAAAATTAAGGAATTTCTTATCATTTGTATAAAATGTGTGTGCGTCAGTGATACAGTGGTAGAATGCTTGCCAACCACGCAGGTGGTTAGGGGTTCAATCTCCGGCCACCGATGTACTCCTTTACCTCGCTAAGCCAGTAAATGGATTGATAAATAGGGAAGGTTGGACATGAGGTTAGCAGCCCAATCCTTTAAAAATAAATACCGAAACTTCTTGCCTTTAGCTTGAAGCCCTATGTTCCAGTGGGAACATAAAGGAACCATAAATATATATATATATATAATGTGAGTAGTGGCGGAAGTAGCTACTAGAGTGAAAAGCTTCTCTACATAGCTATCCACTGACGAGAAAGGTCATAAGAAATCTCAATTAAGGCGACTAATAACGCTGAAATTAAGACGGTGTCAAATTCACATGCTAATTATGTCTACAAAATACGGGGTGACGACTTTTGTGTCAAATCAGCCAGTTATATATCGTTTAATTTATCACAACATAAGGAAGTAAAGAAGAGTAGAATAAGTGACACAGTTACGATAAATAGTCAGTCATTACTATGCATGTACTACCATAGAATCATGCACTGAAGTGTGCAGGCGATGGAGGAGTTCCGCGTCCTCCGATTGTTAAATAGAGTTGTTCACATTGAGATGCTGAGTTTGTGTGGATTCCAGTCTAGGTTTTATCAAGGGCTGGCATCAGTTAGGGGATCACCAAGTATACCCTTCAGAGTTATCCCAAAACTGGTGTATACCAAATATCCTCTACCTGAAAAGGGAAAGTATTTGTATAGCCACCTGATGGTCCTGCCTACATCTTCTATTGAGGTTATGCTCGCATCCATTATTATTTTGTGTTCATCAAATCAGTGTGCAGCATATACAGCAGGAATGATTATTCCGCATCAGTCACAGATATAGACGAAAACAACCAAACAGAAAAAAGAGGGAGGAACAACAGTTAGAATACATAATCCAAATTAGAAAGTGGTGTATTACTTTTATTAGGGCTGTAATCAATAAATTTTGTGCTTCATATTATCCAAGATTAATACCAAACTATTCACTCTAATACGGAATTAAGTTATACCGTAGTGCATCTATGCTGACTTTCCTTTTAGAATACCAATGAATACGACACTGACATACACATTTTTATATTTCTTTGCTATCCGAGCAGAATATAGATTCTGAGGTCTTGATTTTTCATTTGGAGTGGTTTTATTATTACACGGTGTAGGATCACCAGCCTCAGACCCAATCTTCCGTCTTTCCAGGGCTTGCTATTGGCTATTCAGGGCCTAGAAGTGTATCTTGCGGAAGACATTCTTAGTAGGCGATCATTATATCGCTGTAGCAGCAATGTATACAATAAAGTGTAATTTGTTCAGGTGAACAAACATTTTGACAAACATCAAACTGTGATTGTTGTTTAACGTGTTAAGCTGACTCCTTTCTATTATGTTATAAACTGTTGGGGGAACAAATAAATTAATAAATCCGATTAAGATTCGAACAAAATTATCTTTGAATTACCAATGTCTACTGAGGGTCTAAGTCTTGGAATTTTAACCACTGGGTCACGAAATTAAACTCTACCACACCTATAAAAGTTCAGGCAGTTATATGGCATCACCAACCTAAATATAGTAGGTATAAGTCATCGAATGCAAATACAGGTGAAGTTTTAGAAAGTGGTGGAGGTCGAAGAAC